CCCGGTCCGACCTATAACTTCAATAACTGGGTTAAAAGAAATTAGGAGGCCATTCGATCACGATCTGTAGGAAATGGAAGAAGTATTCAACTATTTATTCCGTTTTAATAATTGTTTCTTTGAAATACGCAATGGATATATGGACGGAATATAACCGCCTTCTCAAGAATATCGTCATAATTACCGCTAGAATGGCAGAAAATACCTACCTGCACTACTTCACTATTTTCAGTTTCAATTTATTAACAACAAACTTTAAGTAAAATCTGGTTTTTTATTAAAGATAAAAGTCAACATTACATAATGTTAGCAATACAATGTAACACAAATTTTTGACTTGGGGTTTTGTTAAAAAAAAAAAAACAGACTTTACAAATTATATGGTATAGATACCTCAGCAAATACTTCTAAAATACCTACTGCCTGAACTACACTTTTCCCACTACAATAAGGCTTGCACTAGAATATTTGCCATTATCCAATAATCCAATACTTGTCAAACCTACAGTACCATCAAATAATAATAGAGTCGGCCGATACCGACATATTTGTTCTGTCTTTCTATTTTATTACAAAGGTTATCCATTCAGGAATTATGGCTACACAAATTTGACACAAAATACCTGTGCACCACCTCATGAAAGAATTATCTATAAATAAATCTTGTTCAAATGGATCTGAGTAACGATATACAATTAAAGGCCCTTCTAGATTACTCCACTACATTAATTTAATGAGTTTCGAAAACGCAGCTAGATATTTTTTCAAAATTTTGAATGGTAGGCCATCATTTGCAGGCGTTTCAAATAAACAATATGTCATGCGCACATCTATTTCATACCTGTAAATCTGATATAAGGAATTTGCCACCCACAGAGGATGCATTCCATCAGCAAAATTAGCATGTGCCTACTATTAAGAAAGAACTGCCTATGAAATAATTGTGTGGAAGAGTGCGATTTCAATAAATCCAGAAACTTCCAACCCAGTTAATTTTGGTTGGGAACTGAAAGATAATAAAATTAACCACAATAAGTATCCATACCGATGTAAGATTCTAAAATGGTGCTGCAAATGCAAATTCCAGATATGCACTAGAAACTAAACTGTAGTGTTTAAAAGCAGGGCTGGATGGTATAAGAGGTTGCTATTCTGGAGGCGGGTTTCATTTAAATTAAAATTAAGTAAGTTTTAGTTACCTAATTAGGTTTTATAGAAATGTCTGTCCTTATAGAATAAATCAGTACTGTCGAAGTTGGGTCGCGCTGGGGCCAGGGTGCGGGCAAGGCGTCCGTTGTAGGGATGCGCACGATGTATCGATGTTTCAAAAACATCGATTTTCTTATTTCGATGTTCGATGTTTATATCGATGTTTTTTTATTCGATATTATTAGAGAACATCGATATTTTTTTGCGATGTTTTTTCGATGTTTTCTTCTAAATACTACACCAGTTTTTCAGTACCTTTTTTGATAATTTGATGAAAATCTATTTGTTGAACATTGGGAAGAAATAAAGAATGTATATCTGCGACTATCAAAGATAGCTTCAAAATACTTTAGCGTTATTGTAGCAGCTTCGGTTCCATATGGAAGACTATTTTCAAATGCAGGACCAACTTTGACACAACACAAGAATTATATGGAAAAGGAAAAAATAGTCAAAATTTCTGTTCTTGGATGATAATTGTGATTCAAATATGATTGTTACTTGTATTCATATCATTTAAGTCAAGTATCTAACTAGATTTACTCTCTAGTGCTTAGTTATTGCTATTGTTTGCTTTCAAATGTACTTTTTCTTCATTATAAATCGTATATTTATTACCTGTATGTATATTATATTAAAAATACATAAGTAGGTTAAGTAAAAATGATATTCTGTTTATCAACAGTTTAATTTTTTCTTACCATATTTTCAAAAACATCGATGTTTAGAAACATCAATAGTTTCAAGCCGATGTTTTAACAACATCGATTGTGCATATTCGATGTATCATTTGATGTCAACATCGATGTTTTCAAAACTTTGCGCATCCCTAGTCCGTTGAGATCAATGCGGCAGCGGCCGGCGTGCATCGTCGTTTCAAAAAAAAAAATCATATCTCGTAAACTGTTATCACTAGTCAAAATCTCTTTTCACCAAAAACTTCCTCACTCATTTAGGCACATTTTTCGTCGATTGATCATATATCTATCTTCAACCGTTCAAAAATTTTCTCGATGCTGAAATTTTCACTTCAGTTTTGGTACCGCACCTCTTTTTAAGTAATCTGACAAATTCAGTATGAAAAAAAAATAGTTTTTTTACTGACATTTCATAATACGCTATTAAACGATTAAAATCTGTATCATAATGAACTTCATTACGATACAGATTTTCATTATAATACTCATTTTTAATATTATACAATGTTGTTAGATGGCAGCACTAGTTAAGATATTAAACATTTTAAACGGTAATTTTGCATAAAACAATTATTTTGATAACTATAAGAAAGACTCCGAATTGTTTAAAAGTTACCTAAAGTTTGGGACGAAGAATAATTATTATGGAAATAATGAATGATAAGGAAGAATTTTTACTTTTTTCATTATTATACATTGTCAATAGAAGGCGCCATCAGTTAAAAAAAAATGATTTTTTTTTTTGAATGTTGGCAGCACTCTGTTTATAGCTTTTCCATGGTAATTTAGCGAAAAACAATAATTTTATTTAAAAAAATACCTCAAATTGTTATTAAAAGTTAATACCTTAAGTTTGGGAAAAGGCATTATTATGGAAATATTGAGTGATAACGAAGAATTTTCACTAACACCTCCAGAAATTACAGAAAGGGCGACAAATGCAGGTAATAATATACTACCGGACAAAACCAAGAAAATTTACGAAAAATTATATGAACAATTTATGGATTGGAAACATCAAACACATCGTCCTTCTCAGAAAATGTTTTGATAATATATTTTGAAGAATTACAACAAAAAATTAAACCTTCAACTGTATGGATTTACTCGATTATAAAAAAATCTCTATTCAAACTTAAGCATAATGTTGACATATCTAAATATCATAAGTTTTATCAATGGCAGTAGAAAAAATAGTGTATGCAACTCTCATGTAATGGCCATTAATACACTCGCATGTTATATACGAAACTCGCCTGCGGCTCGTTTCGTATCCTACAACATGCTCGTGTATTAATGGCTATCATTACATGATCATTGCATAATATACTATTTTTGCATATACAGTTGAACTCTACAATGACTAAGCTTTCATTTGGTGCAAGAATTTTAGAAAAATATTGAACAATAGCTTCACAAGCGTTAGTTAAACACAAAAAATAGTATATTTCCGATAATTCAAAAAAGTCGGAAAATATTTTTTTATTCTTAATTGCAATTACGAATTAAATGGAGCCCTCCGGATTTGCATCCGCAAGGTCATTCTCCATATTGTACACATTTTTTAAAAAGTATATGCTCGAGTGCACAGTAGGTGATCGAATTTCGGTGTGCTGATTCCCGACTAAAAGTAAAAATACAGAAAATAATTCTGTTTTTAGTTGCTTTATCCAATTATGCCAATTTCAAAAATTAGTGAAATAGCCCATTTCTATATTTTTTTTTTATTTTTCATTTCCGCCCTTAATACTTTCAAACATTAATCAAAATCAAATCAATTTTACATAACTTTGTTCAAATTGAAGCATATTTCTAAAATTATTTTTAATTTGTCATGGAATCACAAAGTTTATGTTTGTTGCAATGCTATTCAACACAACTTTAAAATGTCGCTATTTTTTTTAACAAGTTGAAACGTTACTAATGATAATATGCATATTAAAAAAACTCTCCTTAAAGTGCAAAAGTTTTATTTAACATTTTGCTGAATTTTCTGAAATAACTTTACAGTACAATTTTGATATTTTTTGAGCTATCCTGTATGCTGTTTGACTTGCAACCAATCTAAGTGCACCTAATATGATTATCCAGACATGCACCAACTTTTGGCCTTGTTTGTATTTTGGTTGCGCTATTACTAAAAAAAAATCCCATATGTTGCACACTTAAATAATGACACTGTATATGCCCGTGATAACGACAAGTGGTACCCAGTATACATATAGATATTATTCCATGAATATGAACTTTTTGTCTCCTGTCACTTCTCGTTTTAACTAGAAATAAGCAACGCATATGGGGCAAATCTTCGGCACGCGCACCTTACCTAAGAACCGTCTCATGAGCAGTGAACATGTTAGAGGATGATAAAAAACACACTGGTGTTGCTATCAATTGAAAATTCTATTAAATTATTGAGTCGAACGAATCCTATTAAGAAATAAATTGCCTGTTGGTAGAGTTAGGTGGCGTTCCGTATCTTAACCAGAGTTACCGATCGGTAAGAAGCGGTTCGTCTATGGTAACAGTCTGGTTCCTGAAAATGCGGTTCATGTGTGGAACGCTTCGGTTCAGCTTTGGTTGGATGATGGAATATTATCCTCCCAAAAATATATTTGTGATAAACAATCGTCTTGAATGAATGTAATATTTGGCTTTTGTTTCATTTTCACCGCAAATACACTTCGAAAGCGGAAGAAAAAAATAAAAAAAATAATAGAAAACAATCACCTAACCTAACAAACAAATGTCAGAAATTAAAAACAAACCAAAAAAACCAGGAACCGCGTTTCATAACCTAACCAGATTTCAGAAGTGGTTAGGTTACGGAACGGGAACCAGAAAAACCAAGAATCTTGGTTAACTTACGGAACGTCACCTTAATTCACTACCCATCGCAGGGTAAAGTTCGAATGACAGATAATATAAACCTTGTTTATGCGCCCTAAGTTGATAAAACTTTAATTTAGTCATAGGATTGAAATTTGCTAGTATGTTCTCTGCCCTGCCGCACTTGATAAAGTCACTATAACCTGTTTTCAATTTGTCTTTGTCATGTTTGTATTTTTAAATTGATTATAATTTTTATTGCAGTGCCAACGATATCCTAAAATTGGAAGAAGCCCAAAAAACACCCCAAGTGATAAACAACAGCAAACCCATGGAGGTGACATGATGTAGGCCAGTCCCTCGAGGGTTTTCAGTTGGGCGTAATCGGATTTTAAATACTCTTCAAGAAAGAGAGAGATGAATACAAGAAGTACACATACCCAACTAAGAGTCTTTCATGTATAGGGTTTTTGGATTGGTTATAAATTGACCACCCACTTGACTTGTTTATTTTAGTTAGGAGCTAAAAAAGTTCAATAGAGGAGTGGATTTTGGTTAAAGCAGGCTTTTATCCGATATCCGTTTAGTTTATGCAAGGTGATCCTATTGATGAAAAACCCTGTATAATTTAATTTATTTTGTTTCATCTTTTCTTCCTGATTCTAAATACAAAATACAGTTTGTTGGGTCTTCTTTAGTTTTTTACTGATTACGTTTTATTTAAATAATATTTTCTGTTGATCAGTATAGGAGGCTATGCTTGCTACAACGCTATTTCTATAGTGGGTGGTCAATTTATAATCAATAACCCTGACACACAACGTTTTTTGTGTTTAAGAAAAATCAATACGCTTGGTAGTAAAATGTGTTCAAGGATGAGTTTTCCCCTGACCGTCTATTTTTACTGTGAGTGAATTCGGAAACTACATTTTTTTGCGCCGCGAAATATGAAACAGATGACAGTTCAAATGACCTGATGGGCTCTTTCACCTAAATTAAAATATGTATGTAGTTTACACATAAAATCTTAAATGAGGGACTATCAAGTATAAAAAATTTCTATGAGGTTAAATAAGTTTTCTACAGGCACTTCAAAACTGGACAAATTTAAAATGATTCAGACGCGCCAGACGATGATTAAAAATGATTCCAATAAAATCTAGAATCATGGAAAAAAAATAAAACTGAAAATAAAAATTAAATTAAATTGTGTATTATAATAATTTAATGTTTTTTCATAAAACCTTGAATCCATAATCAATCATTGAGTTTTTTTTGGTAATATGCCAACATTTTTGAATCAAACTAGTACAGGGTGTCCCAGCCGAAAGTGAACCATTTTGAATGGTTATAACTTTTAAACCAGGTGTGCTAGCTACCTGCGGTTTGCGCCATTCGATTTCTCTTGGTCTAAAGTTTTTTCTAGTAGGTTGCAAACTTTTTTGAAACAAGCAAAGTAAAAAAAATAATGTTCAAGGTATCCATGTACGAATAGACATAGTCCCTAAAACTTGAAATTTTAGCCGTGAAAAATCCAAATCGAAATCTTGGTATTTTTGCAAAAGCATATTTACAAAGCTTGGAACTTATGTTTGCCTAATAAAAAGTTAATAAAAACTGCATAAAACTATACATTATTATTATGTGTTTGATGTTTCCAATCCATAATCCATTCTGTTTCAGGCATTTATGAATCAGTAAATGGGTGAATGACTTGTGTAACATTTCCTGGGGAATCACTTCAATGACATTAGAAATGTTCCGCTTAAGATCTTTCAAGCTATTTGAGCAAGGGATTACAGCATCTTTCCTTGACATAACTCCAGAGAAAAAAGTGTGGAACTCTCAAGTCAGGAGAGTAAGGTGTCCATCCTATAGGACCTCCATATCCGTCTTTCCCCAAATGTCATATCTAGTGATTCCCTTGCTATTAAAGAATAATGAGGTGGGGGCACCATCCTGCTGGAAATAGATATCATCCAAGATACCCTCCTGACTTAACTGTGGAAAAAAGAACATATCAGTGTATACAATTTCTGTTATGGTTGGTTCATTAATGGAAATGGTCTGTATTTTTTCTTGATAGAGATTGCACACCAAACTGTTACTTTTGGGGTATGTCTATTTTAACTTAATTGATATCTAACTAGACAGTTACAAAAATCTTTGTCATAGTGATGTCAAACATGAAGTTGCATGCGTTTGCAAAAATACCAAGATTTCGATTTTGATTTTTCACCTTCTAAAACTTCAAGTTTTAGGGACTGTCTATTGGTACATGGATACCTTGAATATTAATCTTTTTTTTGACATTGTGATATACAGGGTGTTCAATTGAAAATAGTGGAGAATTTTGATGTTGAAAAACTGATTTTTTTTCACTTGCCCTGTATAAGTTTCAAAAAAATTTGCAACCTACTAAAAAAAACTTTGGACCAAGAGAAATCGAATGGCGCAAACTGCAGGTAGCTAGCATACCTGGTTCAAAAGTTATATCCATTTAAAATGGTTCACTTTCGGCTGTATTAAACATTTTTAATGCTGACAATGAGTAGCCCACTGTCAGTATTCCAGTTGTGACGTATTAAAAATAAAATGCTTGTTTTTATTCAGAGAGTTTTCTTCTTTTTCCATTTTCTCTAAAAGGGAAAGGACTCAAATTTAATAGCCCATTGACATGAATTTAGACCAATCTCTCTAAAGAATTCAGTAAACAAATTTGTAAGGAATATAAGGCGATAAAGACAAAATATGTTTTTATTTTAGGTCGTTTCTGCAAACCAGGAGCAAGTTACAAACACAAACTTGTATTTCTTAAGCTGAGGAAGTCAAGAAATTGATCAGCGCTTAATTCAACTGGCCGTCTGCGTTTTCATCTTCAAAAAATAAAAAAAGGTCCCATGCAAATTTTGTTACGTACATGATTTTAGTATTGAATGCCAAAACCAAACACAATGCAAAAAATCTTTCCTTGGGGTCGGTCCGTCGTCATATATGTCAAAATTTAATTTGAGACCGTTTGCTAATGGCCAAGAACACACTCTGCGGTCACGTATCCATCTGTGAAAAATTTATCGCCTCTCGGATGCAGTTTTCGAACTCGGCCTGTATTAAAGTGAAAGTGCGTTTTATAAGAACGATTTCAACACGTTTTGGTACCTCATTTGGTTGGTCAAAAATGTACCATGTATGAATGATGGGTGTGAATGAAGGGCAAAAAGAGTATTAAACAAAATATTGGTTAGGGCGTGATTTTTTTTCTATGCATCATACTGGTAATGCTTTTTACACATTACATTCAAGTGTGATTTTTTAAAAATCTCTATATTATTTATTTTTAGTCCCCCTCCTTGTATAATTGTAAAAATATTAACATAATACTTTCGGTTTAAGTTTAAAAAAATCGTGAAAAAGGCTGTTAAAACCACTACTAATTTTAGTAACTTATTATTTTTGTGAATAGTATAGGTTAATTCTATCTTTCTGACCTTGCCTTTTTGGCACAGTGTCATAGTAATTTTATTTCCTCTCAGAACATTTTGAATGGTGTTCGGCAAGGTTGAAACTAACTTTACAGCTGAATAGTTTGACTTATACAATGTTTTTAGTATTATTGTTGAGACAAGAAGTTTAACTTGAACTCCGCCCATTTTACTTCTTGAAAAATTGCAATATTCATTTATTATTATTATTATTATGTAATTTTTTTTAATTATAATTTTAATTTTCTCAATTTTCACAGAAGATATATTTGGAATTTTGTAATTGAATTTTTTGGTTTTGAAACAATTTATAAATGATATTTGTTTGTGTACTTATTGTGAAGTTTGTTTTATTTTTCTAGCAGAGTTTTAGTTTTGCTGAACATTTTTTTTCTAGTCAAAACTCTTTTAGTTTTCTTTTTTTTACAACAAAAAATTATGACAAAAATTGAGTTTCTGAATCTAGTTCTCTTCAATCTAGGAATCAATGGTGCGAAATAATAAAAAAATACCTAGATTTAGTGACGCTCCTTTTTTCCTTTTTGATTGAAAGTTACTAAAAAAAAATAATTGTCTTACGGGTCTACTATAAATAAATAAATAAATGAATGAATAAAAACGATATCTTATTGTTGTGGTTTTCATTGTAATAAAATAGAAAATCTAAATGTGAATAACTTGTAAATATCTATTTAGGTAGATATGTGTAAAAAAAATTAAAAATGTAAAAATAAAAAACCTTTTTTGGCAGGACCTGTTAAAGGTTTTCTGTAGTGTAAATCGAGTTTGTATGTGTTTTATTTTGATCCCTCATTGTTTTAAAACTTTTCCGTTAAAATTTATGTAGGGAAATAACTTATACAAACAACGAGAGATGTTTTTAACAAAAAATATTTTACAAAAATTTAAATGAGAACAATAATTAGCGATTAAAATTTAACTACTGACTAACTAACTAATGGTTGTGGCTATATTTATATTAGGTCTCGGCTTGACTTTCGATGCTGTTGACTCAGCTGATGACGATCAGATAACTCCTCCATCCTCAGAAAGAGGGGTAGGTAGATTGATGGCTGGGCTTCTGCACAGGAGGTGGTTTGCTTTCTTCCATTTCATTTTTGAATTATGTGTCTGCCCATGATATATCCAACTATGGCTATTACAATCACATAAATGAATAAAGTCCAAATACTGGGTGGTCTTGGAATTGTGGAGGTAAACTGTGGGGGTTCATTATTATCGATTTGGTTTTTTATTTTGTGGAGCTTGTCAAGTTTGATTTCCTGTAAATGAAAACTCAAAGTGGGTACAGGAAGGCACGGAAGCGTAGTTTCGATGTCTGGAAAGATGATTGGAATAGACTATAGGTACTTTAAGCAAAAATGTTATTCTGTTGTTTAGAATGAAGCACTCAACATCAATGAGATTTTCGAAGAGAAAAATGTTTTCCAAATCTACAGGTAATTGATTGGGACCAATATTTTTTGAAGTTCTTTAAGTTCTTTAAAAAGGTCATTCACTTTTATTATTTTTTTGGGTGGAAGGTTTTTAATATTGAGAAAGTAATAGAATTCTCTATATTGTCGCAGAAAGTGGTGCGTTTGCCAGCATGTTAAGAATCTTACTTGGAATCTAGAAAATACTGAGCAAAAAGATTATCACGTTTATTCTGGATTCTACACGAATGGATTGCGGATATACAAGGTGGAATTTTTAAATGGAATAAATTCAGTATCAGAAAGCCTGTTTATTTTCTGGAAAAATATAAAATATTTTTAGTTTGGCACATTTTTTCTTAAGAGTAGAAACCACCCCCAACTTTTTTTTTCCAAATGTGTATTGTGATAGCTCGTTGGAATGGGCATAAAAAAGAAAAATGATCCATTATTTACTTTTCCATTTCGGTGATCTAGAAAGCGAGAAAAAAATAAAGACATATTTTTCCACATAATTTTTTTACAGTTAAAACTGTTGAATATCTTTAGCAATTCTTCTTGGTAGAACCCTAATGCGAAACAAGCCTCATTTGTAACGTTACGTAATTATTTCTGACGTTAACACACTATTTGATGCCTGGTACTCGAATTCTCAAACCTAAAATAGTGTGTTAATGTCAGAAATAATTATATAACTAGATCGCCGAAATGCAAAAGTAAATAACGGGTCATATTCCTTTTTTTATGTCCATTCCAACGAGGTATCACAATACATATCTTTACATTTGAAAAAAAAAGTTGGGTATGGTTTCTACCCTAAACAGGAGCGCAAATTCCATGAAAAGGCCGAAAAAATGTGCCAAACTGAAAATAAAGGGACCCGTTTTTTTTAATTTCTCCAGGAACTAAACAGGCTTTCTGATACTGAATTTATTCCATTTAAAAATTCCACACTGTATAAAGGACAGTATTACTTAGTAGTTTTTAGTTTAAGTTTGACTGTGATATGATTTAGATAGCGATTATTGTTGAGAATTGTAAGGAGTTTGTTTTTTTGAGTTAATTAGTGAAGTAATTAGTGTCAGAATGTATAGTAACGTGGAATAAATTATTGTTGTGTTAATTGGACTTTGATTTTGGAATTACCGAACCCAAGATTTCTGTTACGCAACCCAGAGCCGTGACATTGGTGTCAGAAGTGAGATATAATGGGTCCTATGATCAGGCGCGGATCCAGACCCAAATTAAGGGGAGGGCCATACAAAATATTGGAAGGTACAGGGTGTTTGGTTATAATTTGACTTATAGGTAGATGATAGGTGTAAACACAAAAGTGGAGCAGTTTTAGCTAAATTATTGTCAGAAATTTGAAATTTTGCGTATTTTCAACTTTTTTCAAATAGAATGCCGTATATTTGATTCAATATTCTTGAAAAGCACAATTTTCCGATTCCAAAAATTTATACCTAGTTTCTCTATATTAAGTTGAGCCGTCTCCACCATATTTGGCTTCAAAAATTTTAAAAATACATACTATCAGAGAAACCAAGTGCCTCAAATTTTACCTGAAGCTTTCATCAGAATGGTTCACAAAATCGTCAGTAGGATGGAATTTTTCCAATTTTTAGAGCCAAATATGTTGAACGCGCCTCAAACAAATATAGACAAACTATATATTAGAAGCAAATATAGGGCATTTTATTTGAAAAAGTTGAAAGTACCTTCGCAAAATTTCAAATTTCTTACAATAAACTTTTGTTTTTGACGATGGATTCTGAAAATTTAGTTTAAACTGCACAACTTTTGTGTTCACACCTATCATCTACCTGTAAAGGTAAAGGCTGCAGGTGGGGTGTCAAATTATAACCAGACACCCTGTACATACAAATAGAGTAGGCTAGAGGTCCGTGATAAAATGACACCATGAAATAAAATTCTGTTATATGTATACGGGCCCTGGTAAACCCGGAAAAATTGATCGATTTAATGTTGCGGATTTTTAAAATTATTTTTTCTTATCTAGAGGGGGAGCATGGCCCCCATGGCCCCTCCCTGGATCCGCGCCTGCCTATGATTGAACGTTTACCTTAAAATTAACACAAACCTGTTATGTTATGTTAACAGGGAATAGATATATAAAATAACAGTGGATGTTATATCGGTATGATTGACGAAATCGATAACAGAAAATGTTAAGCTGGCTGTTAGAATGGAAAAAAATATTTGTACCTGGCTCCACTTTGGTTTCAAAAGTGACTTTTTTCTTGAAACAACAACAAACAATTACATTTTTTTGCAGCTCATTTTACATTTTATTCAATTTATTAGGACGAAAAGATTATCTAAAATAACTGTGAAACATTATGGGGACCTAGCATTTCCAAATCATATAGGTACCTAAATGCCCTGGGTGTTGGACCCCAAAAAACATCAGAATCAGAGCTGTTTTCTCGCGTTCACTTTTTTGCAACTGGTTCAAAACAGGTTTGAAATAGTATATTCTCGCGATGAACCTATGACGTCACACAAAATTGTTTCAAATCGTTCCGAAATACTACAATCGAATCCATGTTTTTGAACCATTTTCTCGCGCCGAGAAGTTATGACGTCATTGGGAAACTGTTTCAAACCAGTTTTGAAACATTTTTCAAAACTTCGACACCTCTGATGAGTGGACATCATTTGTACACGAAAATAAAAGCACCATACTAGAACCACTGTTTTATATAAAATGAAAAACAGTTGCAACTATACTAAGAATTCAGAATAAACTTTTAGAATTTAGACCTTCAGTTCAAGTGGAATGGATGAAATCCTTGGTCTTTGAGGAATATCAAAATGGGGGGCCTTATTCTTGCCATTTATAAACTGCACCGATTCTTTTGGAACTTTTGGGAATCTAGTACATTTAGTATTAGTAATGAAACCTCTTATCAGGAGTACTGTAGCGATATTTCGTCACTGCTTATATTTTGGACAGGAGGACAGGAAAACTACAATAGATTTTCTATGAAATTATTCGAAGAGAGCGACGTGATGTTGAAATATCCTCGTATAATGCAGTGTCTCAAGTCAGAATAAAAATACTTTACCAGAAGGTAGAAAATCGGGAAACGATTCCCAAACAAACTCCAACACCGGGAAACCGAGTAGAATGTTATCGGCGCCATAAGGTTGGACATAGTCAACGAGATTGAAGAGTAAGGATGTCCTCTCCATCTAGGGATCGTTTACAATGCGTTTCGAGATCTGGAGACTCCAGCCCTAATAACAGACACGGAAACGAGAACTAACCAGTTTGGAGGGGCGAATGCTGGTTAGAAATGACGAAGCCCCCAGGGTTGTTTACATAAAAGCATTGGGCAGTCATTATAGAGGACTAAAATTCGAAGAACAAATTAATGGACAATTTAAAACCATCACTTTTGATAAGGGTGCTGAACTTTCTATAATTAGAAAAACATTAGTCAAGGCTCGGGCAATCCAACCGCTCACTAGAAACCTGTCACTACGAACAGTCACAGGCGAATCAGCACCAGTTCAAAGAGAAGCTATGATGGTTGAGGTTACTTTTGGACAGTGGCGGCTCGTGACTATTTCAAGTAAGGAGGCTGAAAAAACATGAAAAACGGAAAGGTAACCACTGCGCAGCAGGCAAAATTTGTTTTGGGATGCCCACGCCTTTATCTCAAATTCAATAAAAACCATGAATATTTAAGAAAATGTTCTTTTTCTTCATATAAGTATATATTTTCAGAGCTAAATAAAAAATAAAAAATTACAAGGAATAAGACACAAATTGATAATCATAATTATGTACAGTCGCGGCCATTGGAATTGGCACAAACTTTTAAAACGCACCTCGTATTGCATCAAAATTTGACAAAAACTGATGTAACCAACAAAAGTGGTCAGTGGCGTGTGTAATGTCCACCAAGTTCAATTTTGGACCCCAACTAAAAAATAGAAAATCCTTTTGTATCTAGCCTAGTAGGAACTAACTCCTTACAAAAAAATGTTAATATTTGGTAGCACCTCCATTTTTATCAACTACTGCTTGCAATCTTCGTGGTATTGAGAAAATTGAATTACGAAAATTGTAGTTGTCTGTTAATAATGTTAAAGCATGCTATTAATTGATTATGCAGTGTTTTAAATCTTGTTTCGAAGCAGGTCTAAATTCTGTATTGTATTTTTTTTTTGTAAGTTAGGCCCAAACATTTTCGCTCTTAACATGGTCTTACATGCTGGAACGTAAAATGTTATCCAAAGCGTTCATTAGCGGATGGCAGCATTACATCTCCTAATTATGTATTTCTCGCTAGTCAGACGTCCATCAATAAAATAAATCTGCCCTGGACCTTCAGCACTTATACAAGCTCATGCATGAACAGAAAATCTTCCGCTAGACTGAATAAATTGGATGTAGTCCTCCTCATACCTGGTTCGTCGGGGCCTATAAACTTTTAATGTTGGGCTACTATTGCATGACTGAAAAACTTTTTCGTCAGAGAAAACTATATTGCTTCAGAAGTTTTCAGGTTCTTGAGAAAATAACTGGGCAAACTGTAATCGGCACTGTCTATTTCTTTGCAATGAAAATGGTTTACGACCGCTGAATGACATCTAAATCCAGTTTCCTTAATACGCCTTCGCGCAGTTCTAGCTGGAGTTGGGAAACTACTCAATTTTTTCTCCAAATTCATAATTATACTACTTCCACAACCAAGGGTTAAGGCAACTGCACATATAGTTTTCCCTCGTGAAATCATTAGAATTGCTTTGGCTTTTTCATCGTTGGTTAAAATATGGTACTTTTTTTTTCAATCTTTTTTAAAAACTTAATAAAACCGTTCTAGTTCGCCACTGACTTATCACTTTGGCATTACTGGCTTGTTAAAAAAGTCAGATTTTGATGCAATACGAGGTGCGTTTTTAAAGTTTGTGCCAATTCCAATGGCCGCGACTGGACTTTCCGCAACAAGATGCAAAATTGTACAATAATTTACAATGCACCTAATACCTAATGCAAAAAAAATTCAATCAACTATAAATCTACAACGTCCAACTAGAAAAGTGACCTGGAACACTATTGCTTAAAGCAGAGATAAAAAAAGCAAGGATATTGCAGCTGTTTTCAACCGTGCGGCTAGCCGCCTCTCGAGACGATGGTCGTTGAACGCCAGTAGTGGTTCGATATGCTTCCGGCATTTCTATTGGACGCTGAGATTCGCGGGCCATTTGAATGCTAGATTTCAGTGAAGCATGTGAGACTTGTGAGAGTCTAGCCTCCGGTCGATTTCTATTCTTAATAATTGCAGGAAAGGGACAGTAGATTCACAAATTTTTGTCGTGGAGGCGCAAGTTTAAATGTGTAGTAAACGACTACCTATATTAAACCATATTGACTTGTTGGCACTCTTAAAAATCGTTTGTGTATTTTTAACAGGGGGTTAAAAAATGGCGAACTTGACAGGTTTCGAAAATGCTAAGAAATTTAATAAAAATGATAATTGGCATTAAAAATTACATAACTACCTACATAAGTTTTATAAAAAAAAGTCTTGAAATTAATAACAGTAAAGTTTTAGTAAAAAAATTAGTAGTAAAAGTAGCTACAGGCTGTTCCAAGATAAGCATACAAGCAAATTCCTTAAAAACCGATTTTCTCAAGTTGTTTCGGCCACTCAAACCTTTTTGTGTTTATTCCTACGTCATCAATGTTCCGTATCGAAGCTTGGCAGCATTGTGCTGTGACTTGTGAGTTGTGAGCCCGGCTTAAAGCACGAAGGAGAGAGAAAAAAATACACAGCTGGACAAGTCAGCTGGAACGGAGAGAAGCAGCACCGCCGTACAAGAAACAAGCAGCTTTTATAAAAAATCATTTTTTCATCTAAAAATCAAATAGTAAATGTCAATAAACCAAGTATTCATCATCACCATCTGCTAGTCCATTATTTCAAGATCCACCAAAAAGAAATACAGTCCAAAACATGGTCTTACGAGCCGAATAAACAAGAAAACGGAAAACCAGCCAGTAATTTTCCACGTTCAAGTATTCAAGTTAATCAAGTTAAAGTGCAAGTGACAATAGCAAG